ACCATTCTTGTATTTGACTCATCAGTGTCACAGTGTTTGGCTTCACAGCAACCACGAGTTATTTCTCTGTACAGCAAGTGGACATACCAAGGTTACATGACCTAGAAGAATGTTTCACCAAAAACAATTAAAGGCAGGCCTCAGGGCTGCGGAGTAGAGAGTTACCCACCTTTGGCAATAACAGTAAGACTTATTGAGCTGTATTTCTGTACAGACGCTGGGGTTTGCCCATCGTGCTCTTGATGTACAAAGCTCGAACATTTTGCCAATTCTTCTTTAGCAGTGAAACCAGAAAGGTGACAGCCAGGTGGATGTTGTAAACAAGTTCATCATCTGTCACCTTCACATGGCCAACAGCCTCTGCATCTGAAATTTGATGTTGGACTTCACCTCCTCTACTTTTGCTACCATGTTCTCATTGTGGGTCAGCAGAGAAGGAAAGTTGCCAGCCTTATTTAGCCCTGGACCTAGGATTCTTGGGATCTGATTGATCAGGGATTCAGAGGCCAAAAGGGTATCTACTTCCTGGCCAGCTTTTTGACCAGCTTCTTACTCTTGTTGAGTTTTTTCCAGCACTTTGATGTTCATGCGAGGGATATCCACAGCCTTGGCTTCATCATAGTGCTGTTGATCGCCAAGAAAACACACGCAGAACTTTGGGCATGGGGTAGACTTAAGCCTGATGGTCCCCAAGAAGCATTTGACCTTCTGGGGGTCATAGTTCTTAAAACTGACTTGTAGCTCCACTGTCTCCAAAAACTTTCTGCGTTTGCGCTGGTTTCCATGCAGGACTTCCCGCACCGCCTTGTAGAGGGTGTCCTGAGAGACTTTGCTGCTCATGGTTCTTAGTGCTGCAGTAACTGGAAAAGAGCTACAGTTCTATTTCTAATCTTAATAAAGAAGGAATCATTCAGCCTGTGTCATATTTATGAAAATAATGAACATGTTACAAGGTATTTGCAAAATATATAACCTTTCCTTCACTAGTATGCTATGCAAACTGTGTGTTATTTGGGTATGCATGTGCCTCAAGAGTAGAAAATAGGATGGGGGCACAGGGCCATGACAGTCTTTGTGAAAGAGAAGAGGGAGTGGGAATAGCATAGCTTCTCACTGCCCCAGAGCAAAAAGCAGATAACGTGCTCACAGCCCAGCCCCATGAGGCTTCTAGAGCCACAGCAGCAGCAAGAGTTCATTTATTCATTGTTGACTCACAGACTCACTGTTGTGGTACAGAGAAAGGACTTATTAAGGAAGTAAGTTGGAAATTGGGAGCAGGCAAAGAATATCACCCAATGCTAACTCAAATTTTAGCCCATCAGTCCCAAGGAACAATTCCTCAATTAGTCCAGGCTCTAATTTCAGTCCAGCAACACAAAACCAAATCATCCAGAAAGGTTTGCCTCAAAACAGTTATAAGTCAAATTCTCCTTCAAGCATCTAACAACAAAAACCTTTAATTGTGGCATTTATCTCAGGGCTCCTCTAGTCACACTATGTAATAGTTTCTCCACCACCATCTCATCCTCACAAGGGTCTTAATCCAGTCTCCCTCAAGTCTTGTTGCTTAGTGTGGGAAGCACTCTCTCTTATTCTAGTTCCACAGCTGTTGATGATTTGCAGTTAAGGTAGCTGGATACCAGAGGAGGCTTAATTGTAATGGCTAAAAATGTCCAACTTTTTAAGCTAACACTGCAGCATGCTATTTAGACAATCCATTATATATGAATTCATGGCATGCTACTTTGTGCGTGAATTTTTTCTATTATTTAACATTTTACAGGTTAGTTCAACTTTGAAGCAAGAAAGATGCCTAAGGTCCCTCATAACTGAAGGCAACAATATATTAAAAAAAAACAAAACACAAAAACCCAAACTACAAAAACAAAGTTTACTGACAACCATGCACATAAGTTATGAATGAGAAGTAGGTTAAGTATTCTTATGAACAATCAGAAGATTCTATCAATATTTCAAAACTATCAAAAACTTTTACTGATCCATCAATTCCATTTTGAGATATTTATTCCAACAAATGCAGTCAAAAACTAAGTTTAAATCCTAAGACTAGTTTTGCCCATAACTATTGGGGGAGAGGGGAGAGCTCAGGGGCAAAGGGCCCTGTAAGCCTGTTTCCTCCTCTGTGAAGGGCAAGACATCTCCTCCCAGGTGAAGACGTGCATGCAAAACACTGAGACAGTGAGCAACCACAAATTCTGATTGTGGCTGTTAAATCAAGGATAGTAATTCAGAAAGGGTCTATCAGGATACTGCCAAAGCATACACCTGACAGTGCTGACCTGAGTGGTCCATCTAGAATGTACTAGGATATTCCCAATGGCTCTCCCACTGAGGATCATCCACATCTCTTAACCCCTTTCTCAGTCATGTACTCTACCTGCTTAAGCTGAGAAAGCAATGAGTAGTTTCTTTGGTCAATCTTTACAGAAGAAGCAAGCAACAAATGCTGGCGAGGTTGTGGAGAAACTGGAACCCTGATTCACTGTTGGTGGGAGTGTAAAATGGTGCAACCCCTGTGGAAAGCAGTATGG